AACAATCTGAAAGACTCCTCCCAATTTTATAAGGAACGGAAACTCTGGAAGTACGAAGCCCTAATCATACGATGACCGTCTTCATCACGTAGACCGCGTGCTCAGTCCTTGACACCAGGTACCTCAAAGCTACTTGATAATTACGAGATTCCACGAAAATTGCAGTTCTTCTGCTGCCAGTGCTTCTACATCCGCCACAGTGATCTAGTCCTAAAATTAATTCATTGATTCATATGTGGGGTTTAACGTCCCAAAACCACCATATGATTATGAGAGACGCCGCAGTGGAGGGCTCCGGAAATTTCGGCCACCTGGGGTGCTTTAACGTGCACCGAAATCTGAGCACACGGGCCTACAAAATTTCCGCCTCCATCGAAAATGCAGCCGCCGCAGCCGGGATTCGAACCCGTGCCCTGCGGGTTAGCCGCCGAGTACCTTAGCCACTAGACCACCGCGGCGGGATCTAGCCCTCAAAGGGCTAGTCAACAGGCTCTGACCTTTTTTTACACACTCCAAACAAGCTCGCGCATCTTTTGTACACCTGACCAACCTCGTTCCACGGGCAGTGACGTCAACTTGATTTCATTAGTCATGTGTGCTTCATCACCCTTTGTCGAGACCTGGTTTAGACCAATCAACGGGCAGCGTGCTGTTTCACATCACTGATCGCCAAGTTGACGTCACTATGCTTGGAAGGAGGTTGGTCAAGCATAGAAAAAATGCGGAGCTTGTTTGGTGGGTGTAAAAAAAATGTCCGAGCTTGTTTACTGGCCCTTTAATGGGGCTGGACTGATGACGCAAAGGTTCGCAGGAGCCTATCCTGGCCACGGCGGCTGCATTTTCAATAGAAGCGAGAATGCTTGAGGCCCGTGTATTTACCGCCGTATTCACAAACTATCCTCGACTCGACTATCCCCCTTCACTTGACAGAGTTGAGCACTGCGCCGCTGCTCGGCTGAAATTGACGCTGCACAGCTCGAGAATCACACCACATTATCGCTGATATGCAGTGACTTGCCGTGCCTAGAGAGAGCGCTTCCATTGGCTTTCTCAAGTAAAGGTGAAGCGTTGAGTTAAGGGACGTTCTAGAATACGGGGGTTAGATTTACGTGCGCGTTAAAGAACCCCAGGTGGTCTAAATTTGCGGAACGCTCCAGTAAGATGTCTCTCAGCATATCGTGGTTTTTATACGTTACAGGGCCACTAAAAGCAAGTATTAAGTCGACATTGATTGTTGAAATAGCAGTCCAAAAACCCCGCAGTGTTGCTTTTGTACCAAGCAAGGGCCTATTTTTGAAATAAAATCCCATTTTAGTGGTCAACATTGGGTTAAGCGCGCCTCAAATTACCCGCCTCAAGAAGCGGACCAACCAGACCAACTCACGTCACTGTTGCCGTGCATGATGTGGCCCGGCTTTACAGCGCTAGTTGCAGCTGACCGAAAGCAGCGGGAGCCACAGCAGGAACAACGACCATTGACCAACTTCCCACTATTGGCTTTGAGATTGCAGACGTTCTTAGATTAAACTTTGCCCCGCTAGATGGCACGAACTGTCCAGTGTAACTACGCGATAATTGACTTTTCAAACCACTCGCGTCAGTCCCCATAGCAACGTCCGGCGGTTCTTTTTTTTTCATGAATCAAACAGAAACGAACAGGCAGCATTTTTTTGCGTCTCTTAATGCACGGAAGGTTCTTTATTTAGTGCAGCTAAATCGATTACTAGTGAATAATTGTAGGTGGTCCGTCTGATGTCATCGGGATCATTTTGAGAATGTCCTACTGCGGGGCATGTGTTTTTGTACATTTACCTCAATTTCTCGGTAAGCATGGCACTGTTGTTGATAATATCGTCGTTTTTGATGCTGTCATAAGTTGTGCTTTCACTCTGAAGTAAATTGTAATTTGACTTTAGTGTCCCTTTAAACCCTATGTATTGTTGCTATAGTAATGCTTTGAAACGCGACTGGGAAAAGGCATAGGAAAGAAATTCAGAACACTTAGGCACGTTAAAACATTTTTAGTTGCTATTTCTATTCCCTCGCTAATTGTTTCATTCCATTTTCTAATATCACGTGTACAATAGACAAAAGGAAAATTTCGCTATCTATCATCCTTTCAATTGCCTTTTTGTTCTTAAAGACGATATTGTCTTCCTTATAATGCTTGAGCACATGAAATTTCTGTTTGTCTATGGGTCTCTCGCACTATTCAGCCACCCGGCCAAAGTTTAGGCACTTGCTGAACACCCAGCTATAATTAATTGGTGGCTGTGTTCATAGTTGTTAAAATTGTTGACCAACAAGCAAATATTACTCTTACATGAGACGTGAAATCACTAAGTCGGTATTCAGTGGTGTGTTCCTTTACTTGAAACTACGTAAATACGTAACTTGAAAGAGCGTAGGGTTTTTTACGGGGCGCTAAAATTGTGATCATATGCAGAAAAAAGACGACTGCCAGAGGGTTATTGTGTTTTGAAGACATTTGCAGCGTAGCACGGCACTTTGAGGCCAATCGTTTTCCTCTCTCCTACGTGTTTTCGAGCGTTTTGCGAGTACTTCATTTGCGGGACGGGTTTGATAAAATATGATATGTTGCGTATTGATAAGAGTTGTTATGAAACACGCACACCTCAGTGATCCCTACACCGGCGACGTTTTTCACGTGCCCTGAGCAGTTTATTTTCAAACACAGATAGTGAACGCATACAAGAATGACTTGGATTCTGAAAACGATAACAATCTAGGCTTAATCAGACTGAATATTTCTGATACCTCAAAATGAATACTGTGAAATTTTTGCTCCCAGTACATAAGTGATAAAAAATACCGCCAGGCCTGCGTGGTAGGCGCAGCACAGTCACAGTGAAAGTTAGAAGACCGGCCTTTCAGAGCATTTTCAAAACACTCATTGGGTAACTACTGCAAGCACACTTGCTTGGTACCCACTAGGGTATTATTAAGAAGCTTTTGGGTAGTAGGCTGACATTCTCTATGCTATTTTTCGTCATTCTTCTGAGAAGCGTCGTATCCGCTAAACACTTGCCAGGAATTTTGTGCCAATTGTACATGCAGTGGCTGACGACGATGAGGAGTTAAGGCTGAAGTGGGTATGCGCCACAGTTAATAGGGAAACACGAAAAAGAGTTTGTAATGGGTTGGAGCATTGGACGGCACACTCGTTACGCTATTCGTATTGTGTGACGATTGGTTGCTCTTTCGCTGTTGTAAAACGCTTTGTAAGTCGTATTAACGCGATTGCTTTCCTGAAATCAAGCCTGCGTAAAACAAGTTTGACGGCAAGTCACAAGTACCGGTGTAGCTCAGAGGTAGAATACTGGGCTGACTCCCAGCGAACCCGAGATCAAGCCCCGCTGTGCCATAGGTGCTAGGTCATGCCTGCTTAAGTTCATCGTGTCTGAAGACGACCGATAGTGCGAGCACTTAGTAACAGCATTCACACTACGGCAGCGTTATCTGAATGTACTGCTGCCCGAATATACCATCTCCACCTCTTGGAAAACGCAACTAATTCATCGCTATCGGTGAAGGTTATTGCGTTATTTCCTGCCTGCGTAAAGAAAACGGGCTCTGTTTATTGCCCTCAAGGAAGTGCTTTTCGCTCCAATATACCTAAAGCCTGTTATTACGAGGAAGCTATACTCTGATAAGAGCGCAATTGACGCGTTTGCGATCAACACAGGCACCCGCTGACATAAGATAACAAACCTCTATTGTGTGGAAAACATTTCTTCGTGCATGTAAACAATTTGAGTTTTTTGCAGCGTGTCATCTCAACTTCCGGGAATTCACTGCAGTCAGATGCAAAGTTCAATCTGTTTATCTTATGAGAGCTCCACCAGCAGATAGTGATCAAAAAAGGACAGAGCTCAAAACAGAGCTCAAAAAAACAAGACAGAGCTCAAAAAAAGAGAGTTATACAATTTTTGGTCGGGCACAGTGTGTCGGTGCAGTTTGCTACCGTATAAGACTGGAGAAAATTTTTCGAGAGCCACAGACCGAGAGACTCTTATGTCATAACGTAAGTGCACACGCCGTGTTGCTGTCTGTGTCCCTCTTTAAGTGGGCGCTTTTCCGCTACTGCTTTTCGGCTAATTTGTTCGAGTACATGTGCAACCAAAAACATAAAAGAGAGAGTTCTTTGACTCTTTTGTGAAAGTTATGGCTTACCACATCTAGCACTCTAAGCCACGGCAACTATTTTTGGGGGTCGTTATACTCTTTGCTGTGAGCGGTGTCACTCGCAAAAAAGTTAACGTGTCCCCTTAAAGGGAGTCATATACATGGAAAGTCAGGACTGCCAATGAAGAACCACGCTCACACACACACACTCCCCCCTTTTTTTTAGTGCAGTACGAAGTACTATAGAAAGAAACGTGTTGTGGTGAACAACACATGAGCCTACTAACGGGAAGAAGCAGTCGTATTAAAAGAAAGTATTAGGATAAATGCTCATGCCGTCGTCATGGCGTTCCTGTCTGTTTTTGTATTCGTTAACCGGTATTTCACGGTTTTCGGTATTAAACTCAACCCTATTACTTTTCGTAAAAATAGCGGGTTGTCCCAACGTTTGTAGGCGTTTTCTGTGACCCTCGTTATGTCTTGTGATTAGTCTTTTTTTTTCGTATCTCTTTCCTCCTACCCTGTTTTGCTCCCCTTTCCATAAAAGCAGGCAGGCGTTGTGCCTAATTCCCTCTCTTATTCCTCTTTGTCATCATGTTTTCTGTATGTCGAAATTGTATAATAATAATAATAATAATAATAATAATAATAATAATAATAATAATAATAATAATAATAATATAATAATATAATAATAATAATAATAATAATAATAATAATAATAATAATAATAATAATAATAATAATATAATAATAATAATAATAATAATAATAATAATTTAAATTCGCACATCTCTTTCCATATTTTACATCTATTCTGTGAATGACAGCCATCCTTGAACTACAATGTGCAGAGAGAACGGGACGGCAACGAGCCAGTGCCATGTCGTCGGAAAAAAGCCTCGACACGGCCGACTGCGTAGTCTTTGGTGTGCTGACCGCTGTGGGATACATCGTCGGCATATACTTCTCATTTGCCCGCCGACGGCAAAAGGTAAGAGACAGCCTAAAAAGTATTCTTATTTATTTATTTGTTTATTTAATTATTTATTCATTTAACAATACTGTCAACTCTCATGCGAGAGTCCTTACAGAGAGGGTAACATAACAAAACATTATAGCAAAAAGAACATTATCAGCAAATACACAAATACAAGATCAATGAAGAACAAACGCTACAACTGTACAGATAACCATCCAAAATCTGTTCAGATTTCGACAAATCATTCTGGTCAACAACACTCACCGGCAATTCATTCCACATTTATATTGTATTAGGAAATTTTGAAACTATCCGTACGAGTCCTGTACGTTTCAATGGCCCTGTTGTGGTTGTTTCTTGAGCTCTTTTTACCTGGTGGCAGTAAGTATACTTCCTTGCTAATATTTATTTGACCATTTAGAATTTGAAATAATAGTTTCAGACGATTTTTCTGTCTGCGCGTTTCTAACAGATGGAGGCCAGAAGAATGGAATATTTCTATAACTGATTCCGTCCTTCGATACCGGAAGCATTTAAATCGCACCACGTACCTTTGAATTATTCCTCTTTGTTTCTTTAAATAATATTGATGAGGGCTCTATACCACAGACGCGTACTCAAGAAGAGGCCTTATAAAGGTTTTATAAGCAGCAAGTTTCACATCGACTGTTGCACCTTCTAGTTTTTTTCGTAGAAGACATAGCCTCCCATATGCCTTTCAACAAACATTGTTAATGTGTATGTTCCAAGAAAAATTTTCCGTGATCGTTAATCCTAGATATTTAAATTGAGTAGTATTTAGTAAAGACTTGTCTTTGATGGTGTATGAAAATAAAAGATGGCTCTTCTTTGTTGTAATATGTGTTTTATGTCGATTTAGAATAATTAATTTTCATATTTCATTTTCACACCATTTGCTCAAGGCCTGTAAAGATATGTTCATTTTAACTTGATCCTCTTTGTTTCCTACAGTGAAATAAAGAAAAATGTCATCTGCGAATAGTTTAAGGTGCACACCTTGCTCCATAAGGTCAGAGATTTCATTATTATACACCAAAACAAGAGTGTTCCCAGAACAGATCCCTGCGGGACTCCCGAAAGCACTGCCAGTGAGTCAGAGACATGCCCATCCAATTTCACCTGCTGCTTGCAATCAGTTAGGTATGCCTTAATCCACTTTATAACAGTGGCATTAGGTCCGACTGTTTCCAGCTTGTACATTAGCTCATTGTGTGGCACCTTATCGAAGGCTTTGGCAAAATCTATGGCTATTACATCACTCTGCTCCTACTCATGAATGTTAACATTCGTGCGAAATGTCTCGGTAAGGCGCGTCAAGGCACGCTATACATATTCGAAAATTCGCAATGTGAAATAACAACGGCGTACAGAACTGGGTGAGTTGGTTTACTTCAATGGTTCAAAACGCAGCGCAAAACGACGATACACGAGACGAACAAAGACACAGGACAGGCGCGTCAAGTTTAGCACTTGCTTTTCAAGCACGTTTTGGTCACTCAAGTGTTGTTTGAATATGTGCTGAGGCTATGCGCGTTTCTCACTGTTTTCTTTCTTCAACGCAAAAAATGTGATCATTTTTAGACTAGCATGACCTCTCTTTCTCATTCTCTGCTATGATATTGTCAGGGTTGCTATCGTATTTACCTTTCGTTGTAACACTTTTTTGCGAACACGTTATTTGTATAGAACATTTTCGTCTTGAGCATCTGTTTGTCGGTTGTCATTTGTCATGGTCACGTGCGGGTTATTAGGAAGACGAAGATGATGGCCCAGACACGCTACTAGAAAAACGAGACCTTGTTATGCCATTCGCTAATCTGGGCTAATCTTCATAAGCGAAGACATTCTTTCCTTTCGGGCTTGGGATCTTGGCTTCAGCCACAAGAACGGTTTTGATCTGTTGTAGTTACCTTCAGGAAGCAAAACGAATGCGACTTTAAATGGCGATTTGTGTATTTATTATTATCGATGAAATAAATTGATAATATCAAGTTCGTGTTAATATTTTTCCTTACTTTCTATTAAAAAATTTGTAATTACAGATCTGAATTGTGTGAAATACATTTACTGCAATCTTTTTTTATTTATGTACGTTGCTCTCTTGGTAATAAAACGTCAGTCATGGAAAAGTTCAATAAAGGAAGAAAGGCGGGAAGGAAGTAATGAAAATATTCTCATTTTCCTGTGCATAGAATCGTGCGCCATACGCAGCTACCTTTCTTTTTACAATCTGTGAATTTATAGAACAGCAATAGGGAAACTTCTATCGAAGGAATGCAGACACACGCAGTGCTATTGCGCAGAAAAATCCCTTCGGTGGAAGTATCTCGCCAACCAGCAGCTGCTCCGAGATAGGGTGGTACGCGGGGTGCTCGTAGTGGCGTCGCACTGTTTGCAAACAGAAGGAGGTCTATCACAAGACACGATATGACTGAGAATGAGCAATATTGGTTGTGAAAAGACACTATTAAATAGTGAGTGCCTCCTTGCGTACGCTTGAAAACACTTGTAAGATGGCTTTCCTGCAGTAATATTTTCCAATCAGAAGCCTCATTCACAGACTACTTTTCTAGCTCCGATTACTTTCATACCTCCACAATTCAGTAAAGGTGCTGAAGAACCACAAAGGCTTCAAAGCGTACTGCAGGAATGTCTCGCCTCATTGTACGCTAGCACTGTGCAGCAAGAGAATAGAAGAAGAAGAAGAAGAAGAAGAAGAAGAAGAAGAAGAAGAAGAAGAAGAAGAAGAAGAAGGAGAAGAGAAAGAAGAAGAAGAAGAAAGAAAAAGAAAAAGAAAAGAAGAAGAAGAAGAAGAAGAAGAAGAAGAAGAAGAAGAAGAAGAAGAAGAAGAAGAAGAAGAAGAAGAAGAAGAAGAAGAAGAAAAAGAAAAAGAGAAAGAAATAGAAAAAGAAGAAGAAGAAGATCTGCGTGCTTCATACAAAAGCCAGTAATGAGAAAAAAAGAACACTCTAGCGCGTGGTGCTGTGTATTTGTTCAATACCACCCGTGTCTTTCTGCCTTTCACACAACCTTATTCTGTCTATTCTTTCTTATACGCAATGCTCCCAATGGTAACTGTAAATTATTTTGAAATATGAAAATAATATACATAGGGTAGGAGCGAGAGCCCGATGTGCACAAATGCCTTTACGCCAAAAAATTTTCGGTGACAACGCACGTCTTTTTCTCGTTGTTTCTTGCGATGCGTCTACGTTTGAATCAACGGGTTTTACACGTGTGCTTCCAGTAGTCGGTGGGTAGACACGCTTTCGACAATGTTGGGCAATCAAGTATTTTGGTGCAACCTAAGTGTGCGGTAAAGGGCGGAGAGGTAGCAAAAACCGTGACTACAAAAAAGAGGCATGTTCAGCGCTCACAAACCTTGTGAGTGCAGGATCCACAACGGCCATTTTCGTTTGCTTAGTCTATGACACGGGTAGTCGGGTCATAACATGTCATAAAGTCGTGGGACTAGATAACTCCACTCATCATTGATATGACCGTCGGATGGTGGGGTAATAGGACTGGTTAATTGTAGACAACAAGTGATCTCGGGGGCTGCTTCCACACGTTTGTGGTGCAATATAGATATTTCCACACATCTGACATGTTAGACGACGTGAAATATATTCAACGTTGTGTTGAGTGATGTCTCATTTGCTTGTGGCTGTCGTGTGAGCGATATGTCTCATTGTGAATGTAAAATTATTCAAAATGCAAAGAAATATCTACTCGAATCCGATTTGTGCTTTGTATGAGCTTGCATATTGTACCAGTTTCTGTTTAGTGTAACTGTTTCTATCTTGTTACCACTGCATGCTTAACAGAGCATCGTGTTGCACTAGCAATTGCAGCTATTTTTACAATTATGTGCTTGCGTTTACTGATGTCAGGATGTACAAGGAAGCCGAGGCCTTCGTCATACATTCCAGTCTTTTGCTACGGCTTCCATTTTGTGTGAATTGGAAATAGACTTCACTTCATTTCACTTCAATTCCCAAAGTAGATGAGATAAGTGTTTTTTAGGAATATTGAATTTCTTTAGGCCAGGCAATTCGTTGTATGCAATCTTTATCTTGGTTGTACGACAACAGTGTGAGTCTGGCTGCAGTTCCGGGGTTGCCGTTATGTCTGCATTAGGAGGAGTCCAAAACTTCACTCGAAAAATGTAGGCAGAGAAGGAGGAGAAGAGGAAAAGAAGGTCAGGAAGTTTAGCCAGAAAAAAATGTAGGCAACCTACACTAAGGGTGTGAGGTTGAACTAGCAGCAGAGCTTGTGGCTTACTCAGAGTATTAGCCAGATTTTATAGCAAGAACACAATTAACAAGACCTTACTTAGCGCAATGTTGATTAGTAAAGCTTTCTCTCTCATTCTGTTTCCTTCTGTTCTTTTTCTTTGGTGTATTTGTTCTATGCTTCTTTCTAAATGCGTAGCACTTTATAGGCTTTCTATCTTAAATCCACCGTATCATTTTGCACTCTCCCGCGGTGGTCAATACAGGCCTGAAATGTGGCTAGCAAGGCTGAAAACTAGCGCGAGAAAAACTAACGATGCCTGGAAAGTAAAAACTACAAAAATAACCTAAAATAATTGCAACATTTACCTAAAGTTGCGAACAACTCTTCTAAAATACCTTGTCCACACGCGCGGCGCTAAGAGAGGGCTCAACCTGCTCTTGAACCACGCGATCGATAAGGGTTTTGTGGATTGCTTGTGCTAAGCTCTTATTCTGGTCTCACACAAGTACAGCAGAATTAATCGTAGTGCTTGGAAATACACGTACACCTATACAAGAGTGGTATTACCGAAGGATTTAGCGCGGGATTACTTACTACACCACAATCTACACAAGAACTAGGGCGATAATTTTTCATTTCTAGGGCGATAACTTTTCATTTTCTTCTGAATGCCCATGCATTGAGAAAACGCCTACATTTCTCATGCAGCTTGTCCACGTCAATTGGTGTACCGGCCAGATCTCTTATCATATGCCACAATAGTCAGTGATATGAGAAAAAAGTTACTATAGCTATTCTCATCTTTTTGTTGTTTCAGCTGGCGTCCAGCGACGGGGATGTCCCCGGCGCCGATTATGAAGCATTCCTGGGCGGACAAAGCCTCCCATCTGTTGCTCTGGCCGTCTCCGTCGTGGCGTCCGTGGCGAATGGAATGAACGTGGTGGGATTCGTGGGTCACTACTACGCGTACGGTTTCCACGCACTGTGGATCCTGGCGGGAACTGCATTTGCGACCACGTTTGCGGTGGTTGTGATGATTCCGTTGCTCTATCGGCTTCGCGTTGCGTCAATTTTCCAGGTAATATAAAACACGCCATTCTATCGGCAATTTCGTTTAAGGTCTCTGATGGACACAATCTTGAGCTTCTACATGACTGATTTTCAGGTTTTGATCTCCGCAACAACAAAATAAGTTTAAACTCCTGTGAACTTCAGCGTGTTCCCACGTGATTATGGAAAAAAAGAGCGCAATACAATGAAGACAAGAAAGACGCAACAAGACTAGTACTGATCATGTGGTGCTCTTGTTTGGTCTTTGTTGTATTTAACTGTTTTATACCATGAATGAACTAAAAAGCTCCTGAAAAGCCACGTCTATCCCTACGGTCATTTTCATGTGCATTTCCGTATGGTGGAATATTGCTGATTTGTTGTAGCTACAAAACGTTAATATTAGGAGGTCGTTAGCTCTTCACTTAACCACATCTGCAAACTAGTATACAGGTTACCTTACCTGGCATTTTGTAGTGTTTAAAAATATGCAAACGCACTTCAGGAGTGCGCGATCAAAAGTGCTTTGCTGAATATTTTGTAGGGTCAGACTGGTTGTTGCATTGTTCTTATTTGCTGAATTTTGTAACGTAAGTGGTCGAACTTCGGAAGCAACGAAGTTACGCAATATATTTCAGTCGGAAAGATGTGGAATGGTTATGACAACCTCTGATGAATAAATTTACATTTTTTATATTCTGGTAGATATGGTGTTTTTTCATTTACTTTAGGCGGCGCTGAAATGAAACAAAAATACCACGTGACACATCTGTTTCCGCACCGTGATTGCCGTGCTTCCTAAGGTTACGCGTGATGGCGACTGTGACTTTTAACAGATAGTGCTGCCACCTAGAAATCTACAGGGCAGGGACGCAAGCATGAAGCGGTAAAGAGCGGTTACTTTTAGGGGAAAGTAACTGCTGCACAGGTAAAAGCTACAGCAACAACAAAAAAAGGTCTGTAAGGCTTTTTCCTATGGGCCTGCAACCATTAACTATGTGCTGTTGCTGGGAGATCTGGAAAGTAGATTTGGACAGTATTGAGGCTGACTTTATAAATATATAAGTTCCCCAAGAACCAGATATAAACAAAAAACAAGTATTTATTGGTGTGATACGATGCGCTGCAATTTGTTTACGATAAATACGTGAAGAGATGACTTACAGTGCAAACCAGCACAAATCACAAACAGGATTCGAGACGATCACATGCACACAGCGTTTATCAACTATTCTTTCTCGACTATCCTCGTTCGCACTGAAGCGTTCCTCTAAACCTCAACCGGTAACTTCTTCTTATAGTTGGTAGCTTCCAAAAGGAATATTCCGATACTTTTAAGTACGAGTGCGTCCTTTAAACGGGTGAAGGCAAGAACGAGCTTATGAACTCGTCAATCAGCCATTTTGACAAGTATTCTCAGCACGAGTGACGTCATCGTCCTTGTACTAGGACGTCCCCCTTGAGTCACATTTTCTCGTGTACATTTCTTTGAATAGCAGCATTACTTATGCACTTCCGCCGATAGCGTTATTCTGACGTACATTCTCGAACATTAATCCGTGTGTGTACGCTAAATTGGCAGTACAATTTAGTGTGACTTTGAGATAGCATATGCTATCAAGAGCTGATGCTACAATAATATGGGTTTCTGAACTTTCACGTAGCCTTACGGACATTTTGTGGAAACTGGGAATACTCAAGTTTTGCGAAAAATTGTTCCACATTTACGGAAACTGAATGCAGCTCTGTATAACACAACTCCATTCGATGTATGCTGAAAGGGTTTATTGCACTGCACGGAAATTACCAAAGTGTCACGTCCAGTTTACGGTTGTACCATACGTTGTTCAAATATCTAGGCATAGATGTGTAAGTAATGCAGGACTTGTTCACCAACAGTTGCTCTCTTTGTTTCATATAATAAAGTACCTTCGAATGCGTTTCGATAACAAAGTTGGAATCACGGCAAGCGTCGTCTACTTCGTACTCAGCGTAAGTCCAGTATTTTTGTTATGAACCTTTTTCGGCAACATTTGCGCAGTGCTTAGGCATGCAACGCTATTCTCAAACTAAGAGCAGTAAATTTGTAGTACCGACAACTAGTCTCGGAAGTGTCTGATGCAGAGAACTGCTTTTAATATATGTTATAAAGGTGTCTTGCAGAATAGCAGCTAATTTAGTTATCGCCATCGATATCGCATCTTAATTATCATATGATGGTTTTGGGACGTGAAACCCTGCATACAATCAGTCAATCAATCAATGAATCTATTCATAAATTATTCAATCGAATCCCAATATGTAAACATGTATCCAGCTTCTTTGAAAACAAAGGCTTAATTGGTTCCTTCCAGCATGGTTTTCGCCGTGGTTACTCTACAGTCAGCCAGCTCATCGAAACTGTCCACGACTTAGCAGCAGCCCTAGACAGACATAAACAGGCTGACATTATATTTCTCGACTTTGAAAAGGCACTCGACCAAGTCTCACATCGAAAATTATTATTGAAGTTCGAACCAATACTCAAGAACACCAAATTAATAGCTTGGATAGAAGCCTACCTCTCATGTAGACGACAAGTCGTGGCCATTGATAATGAAACTTCGCGTACCATTACAGTCCTTTCGGGTATACCGCAGGGCTCTGTTCTTGGTCCTTTATTTTTTATTGTATACATCAATGACATCGTTCGCAACATACCCGTTAAAATAAGGCTCTTTGCGGATGATTGTATTATATACCGTGAAATTGCCACACCCCATGGCCAGATAACATTAAATAAATCTTTGGACCGAATTTAAACATGGTGCACAGACTGGCAAATGACCATCAACAAAAAGAAAACTGTTGCAATGAAAATTAGTCTCAAAAAGCACCCTTTAACGTGTTCTTACTGTTTTGATAATGAACCTCTGGAAGTAGTAACTAAAAATAAGTATCTGGGAGTTATCATTTCTCACGATCTTAAATAGAATGACCACATTGACGACTTAATGGAAAGGCAATGAAAAAACTCGGGTACTTAAAAAGGCGCTTGAGTAAGTCCTCCCTAGAAGTTAAAATATTAGCCTATAAAACATTTATTCGGCCACTCTTGGAGTATTGTGCTACTGTTTGGGATCCATACACAAAAAGAAACATTTCAATTTTGGAAAAAATACAGCGGAAATCAGTTAGGTTCTTTTTTAATCAATACAGCTAGGAGGCATCAGTAACATCTCTTCTAGAAACGGCTGAGCTGGAAAAATTAGCAAATCGCCGATACCGTGAACGAATGAAACTATTTTACCTTCTTTATCATGGACACTTGACTATAAAAAAGGATACATACCTAAAAGACTCCCACCGGCGGCCTACTCGGTTCCTTCATAATAAAAAAGTAAGCGAGTTCTATAGTCACACCAACATTTTCCAGTATTATTTTTTCCCGAAAACTGCAATCAATTGGAATTCCTTCCCTTCAGCTGTGGTGGAATGCCCTTCGCTATCATCCTATCTACAGGCCCTTCAGTCCATGGGACATAGCTCTGACATAGTCTTACATGAACCCTGACGCTTTTTTTCTTTCATATGTTTACGCATTCATGTTTTCACTAGTTATTTAAATATCTTGCTGCTGTGCTTGTATGAACTCGTTGTACTCTTCTTCTTTTGCTGTCATTATCGCTGCAACGCTTCATATGTGTTTATTGTAACCCTGTAGTTATTGTACCCACTCCTGCATAAGGTTTGAAGATCATACCAGCAGTACTGTAATAAATAAAATTGCGGGAGTAATACAAAGGGCATACATGTACCGCGATTTGAGTACTCGTTGATTGATATGTGGGGTTTAACGTCCCAAAACCACCTTATGAATATGAGAGGCGCCATAGTGGAGGGATCCGGAAATTTCGACCACCTGGGGTTCTTTAACGTGCACCCAAATCTGAGCACATGGGCCTACAACATTTTCGCCTCCATTGGAAATGCAGCCGCCGCAGCCGGGATTCGAACCCGCGACCTATGGGTCAGCAGCCGAGTACCTTAGCCACGAGACCACCGCGGCGGGGTGATTTGAGAACCCCAGATGAACAAAATTTCACGATAACTTCTTTGTGCGCATTCTAATAATATCATGATTGATTTGTGGGGCTTAACGTCCCAAAACCACGCTATGATTATGAGAGACGCCGTAGTGGAGGACTCCGGAAATTTCGACCACCTGGGGTTCTTTAACGTGCGCCCAAATCTGAGCACACGGGCCTACAACATTTCCGCCTCCATCGGAAATGCAGCCGCCGCAGCCGGGATTCGAACCTAATAATATCATGGTTTCGATACGTAAAAAGCAAGCAAATTTATTAGGTTCAAATATTAACATTTATTGTAGCTAGCAAGTGAGCTCTTTGAACATTGTAGAAGTTCTGCGCGCCAGTATAGTTCCGTGTTTGCTCCAGTGCCATGAAGACACAAAATTTCATATTTTCAGCAAACACTCGGTGCAGTTGGAATTTACAGCGCCGCAATTGGATTAGCTACAAGTGAGTACTGATTATTGGTTATACGCTTCTTTTCGGCGTAAAGCGTGTCTGAGCACACTTTAAACAAGGCCTGCGCGGAAGGCGCAGCACAGTCACAGCGAAAGCTAGAAGAGCGGCCTTTCAGAGCCTTTTCTAAACACTCATTGGGTAACTGCTGCAAGAACACTGGCTTGATGCCCACTACAACATACATAATAAAAATTTTAGGGTAGTAGGCTGGCATTCGCTCTGCTATTTTTCGTCATTCTTCTGAAAAGCGTGGTATTCGCTAAACTATTGCGAGGAATTTCGTGCCAATTGTTCACGCAGTGGGTGACGACGATGATGAATCATGCCAGAGTGGGTATGCGCCACAGTTAATAGCTGAGCAAAAACAAGCTTTTGTAATGAGTTCGAGCGTTGGACGACCCACTCGTTACGCTATTATGGTTTAGGGACGACTGCTTGTTCTTTCGCTGTTTTAAAACGCTTTACAAGTCGTATTGATGCGATTGATTTCTCGACTTCTAGCCTGCCTAAGGCATATTTGCCAACCTATCCCAAGCACCGGCATGGCTCAGTGGTAGAATACTGGGCTGGCAATCAGTGGGCCCGGGTTCGAGACCGGCAGTGTCATTAATGCTAGATTGTATTTCCATTTTTTGTGCGCGATGTGGTTACAGACACCGGTGGCGGTGGCGGCAGCGGAAAACTATGGCGCTAATGAGACCCGAGTTGTGATATAACAACAGCTTTTGCTGTAAAACAAATCTGCTCTGTACCTAGGCTGGTGACGAAAGTTTGTGCGATTCATGAAATGGATCAACGGTGCAAGTGGGCTGTGCGGCTGTATTCTGAATACATTAAGCTTTGTGTGAGAGTCAATATGTAATGAAGCAACGCAAAGCGCATTGCTTGCATTACATTTTACTACTACGAGCAAAGTACGCATTTTTCAGGCTGAGAGGCACTAGTATGTAGTGTGCAATTAAGCGAAATAGCGACATAGCAAAATCAGAGGAGTGGTTTATCATGGGAACGTCACGACACCTCTCGAATCCAAGACGCGAGAGAAGGCGCGGAGGGAGCGTTGGTTGCGAACGCCAGCCAAGGCAGATGAGGAGAATGTTCGTGGTAAAGCTCACACCCTTTTAACATAATAGGAACAGAAGAATCGAGCTCTGTCTCGTTTCTACCAATGAACGAATTTCTAAAGGTTGTCTCCTCAAAATACCATATATACAAGTGATTGTCTTTAAATACAATCTAACTATTTCAGATTCTCCATGGTCAAATAAACATTGATATAAGCATGTACATACGGGAACCTGGTAAAATTAGCAGAAAAATAAACCATAGTGCAGCCATTGGAACATATGTCACCCGCACAAACGTCTTTCGGTATTCGTTTTTCCCCAATGTTATCGAAAACTGGAATGCGCTACCTGCACATATTGCTGAGTGCACGGATGCAAGTGCTTTTGAATATTTGCTTGACAACTATATGTTACCTAAAAATCGTTGGATGATGTGCTGATGTTTTGCTTTCCTTTTGTCATGCCAATGTTGATGATTTTTTTTTGGCAATACTTGAGTGTTTTTATATACCAATTATTACATTTATGTACTCCCTCCCTGTAATACCCACAAATGTGGGTTAACAGTATGCTCCAATAAATAAATAAATAAATAAAAAATTACAAAAAAAGCGGGAGGGGAAAGAGTAGAGAGGGAATTTTCACTGTAACACGCAGCCCAACTGATACGATAGTTAATTCTGGCAAGAAAAACAGACGACAATGCTTTTTGTTTACACGTGAGTGTGTTAATCATGATACCAACAGAATTGAAATCAAGTGGTGTTTGGAAAAAATGTTTAACAATTTCGAGTACTTCGTACTCAACTATGGGAGAGAACTGAGCCGTCCCACTAACAGCTTACTATGAACCAAACGCCAACTTACTTCCTCTGGGGCTGAACCGCAGAAAGGGCCGAAGTGCAGAAACTAACGGTTGAATGAGGACTGTAGTGTGGCCCCTTCTAAGGAAAAGTATTGAAGACGCCTTTCTCACGTGTTTCAGATGTATATTTTTTTAAGGTAAGAAACGCTGTACACCAAATGTTTGCGCCCAGTGATCCTTCATATAATTCTGTCATTCTGTGAAGCGAGTATGAGGGTATCGTAATCACAAAAAAAAATATTGCTGAAGAAATGCAAGCCGTGTGTTGGTGTTGTATTCTTTTCCTTTCTGTGTTCTCGCCGTGCATGGGTCTGTCCTCCTTACTGAAGCAAGATATTGGGTATCTCAAAAATGTGCTATATGTATATATATACAGTGCATACAATGTTCATTTTTCATCAACAACGATTACGTCTTATATATATATATATATATATATATATATATATATATATATATATATATATATATATATATATATATATATATATATATACATATATATATATATATATATGAAAGTAGATGCGCTTTCACATAACAAATGTTTATTGTGCTGACGTTCCGACGGGAACCCCGTCTTTTTCAAGGCATAACAATACTTACACATGTTCCGTGTCTTCTTAAAGCCTGTCGAGACAGGAGGGAAGGGGTCAAAAGAAAAATAAAAAAACAGAAAGAAAAGAGAGAGAGAGAGAAAAAAGAAGAAGAAACAGCGAAACGGGAGGAGAAACATTAAATAAAGTATAGAAAATCTAGGAGAAGAAGCAAGACCGACACGGCGTAATTAGAAAGGGGCAGCATCTCAACAGAGTAGGGCAGCGGTACATGAGCAATGTCATCATTGTCAACAATACCTCCCCCGCACACTCTCTTCCCCAAGTGGGCAGTGTGCCACCGTTCTTGTATTTTACCTTTCCGTGTAATCTGCTGGCGGCTCGTTCCTCTTTGAAATTTAAGACAAGTTAAGGGGGAGAGCTTAAGCGCTTCGAGTGCGTGCTGGTGGCGTCAGGAGGAATGAAAAAGCCGGTGATTGAGGCGCCGCCATCGATATTTATTATATGCAACAGCTCCTTGTCAGTGAAGGAACAGAATGTGCGTCAAAAATTAAAGAAGAAAAAAGAACAGGAAGGGGGGGGGGGGACTGTACGACATCTGGGACAGTCACCACACAGTTGCGGCTCACTGGGAAGACATGCGCGCAAGTATGAAAAAGTTAACGAAACCACCTAGCTGTCTGCTCCTTGTCAGTGAAGGAACAGAATGTGCGTTAAAACTTAAAGAAGAAAAAAAAAGGAAAAGAAAAAGGGGTGGGATCGTACGACATCCGGGATCACTTATCTGTGCGTTCCGGGTGTGCTTGATGAGGCAAATCATTTCTATGCTGTCAGATGCATAGGCTAAAAGCTTTGTTAGCGGGTAATATTATTGTCGTAATGAAACCGGACTGGTTAGAGAGAAGCGTTTGCGTCTTTTGGCGGTCGTAACGCTGACAGAGTGCCTGGGTGTTCATTTATTCCGTATTTTACCGTGTTAAATTTGTAGATAAAATAAGATTCCCGTTGTTCCCGTTGTCTGATTGTTTGAAAGTTGTTTTCTAGTACTGTAATCCTGATGTCATCAAAGCTGTGGTCTTTTATAGTGCAGTGTTTTGAAAGTGGAAGGCTTGGCAGAGATCGCACATGTGCCCGATGGTTGTTGAATCTAATTCTAAACGGAGTGTCTGTCTGGCCCACGTATTGCTTTTACATACCCCACATTTCAGGAGGTATGTGATGTTGTCTGAGTCACAGTCTAGTGTACCTTTTATCCTGTGCTTAAAATCCGAATGGGTGCTTTTTGCCACTGTCGTTGTCTGCATGTGTTTGCATACCTTGCATCTGCTTTTTGCATGTGTTTGCATACCTTGCATCTGCAAGGTATGCAAAAACATGCAGACAACGACAGTGGCGAAAAGCACCCATTCGGATTTTAAGCACAGGATAAAAGGTGCACTAGACTGTGACTTCAACAATATCACATACCTCCTGAAATGTGCGGTATGTAGAAGCAATACGTAGGCCAGACAGACACTCCGTTTAGAATTAGATTCAACAACCATCGGGCACATGTACAATCTCTGCCAGGCCTTCCACTTTCAAAACACTGCACTATAAAAGACCACAGCTTTGATGACATCAGGATTACACTACTAGAAAACAACTTTCAAACAATCAGACAACGGGAACAACGGGAATCTTATTTTGTCTACAAATTTAATACGATAAAATACGGAATAAATGAACACCCAGGCAATCTGTCAGCGTTACGACCGCTAAAAGACGCAAACGCTTCTCTTTAACCAGTCCGGTTTTATTACGACAATAATATTACCCGCTAACAAAGCTTTTAGCCTATGCATCTTACAACATAGAAATGATTTGCCTCAACAAGCACAGCCGGAACGCACAGATAAGTGATCCCGGATGTCGTACGATCCCCCCCTCTTTTTCTTTTCCTTTTTTTCTTCTTTAAGTTTTAACGCACATTCTGTTTCTTCACTGACAAGGAGCTGACAGCTAGGAGGTTTCGTTAACTTTATCATACTTGCGCGCATGTCTTCCCAGTGAGCCGCAACTGTGTGGTGACTGTCCCAGATGTCGTACAGTCCCCCCCCCCCCCCCCCCCCCCGCCTGTTCTTTTTTTCTTCTTTAATTTTTAACACACATTCTGTTCCTTCACTGACAAGGAGCCGTTGCATATAATGAATATTGATGGCGGCGCCTCAATCACCGGCTTTTTCATTCCTCCTGACGCCACCAGCACGCACTCGAAGCGCTTAAGCTCTCCCCATTAACTTGTCTTAAATTTCAAAGAGGAACGAGCCGCCAGCAGATTACACGGAAAGGTAAAATACAAGAACGGTGGCACACTGCCCACTTGTTGGAAGAGAAGGTGCGGGGGAGATATTGTTGACAATGAGACGTCCCCACTACGCCACCGATCGCCAAAGAGAGGGAAGAACACTCAACCCTTTTTTCTATCCGGTTCCCTCTTGGCTACGTGTCTCAATCACTTTCCACATACAGGGATTCGTGCTGGGGCCGGGAAGTAAGAGACGCTACGACCTGTTTCTGTTTACCAATTCATTTAATTTAATACTAACTGCAAACATCGTATACCCGCATACATCAACCCCTACACAAAATTATAACACATGATTTAAACACTCGCGACATTCGACACAAGATACATAAGGGAAATAACTTTGACAATAAAATGGTGCGGCGATACAAAGTAGACACATCACGACACAAATGGTAAAGTCATTAATGAATAAAACCCCGCAATGTCTCAACACGCCATCTCCCTTTCCGTAAATCTAATCTAAATAAGAGGCATAAAGGCCGTCTCACGAATGGTCCGTCTTGTCAGTCTTCATCGTCTTCGTCGTCTTCGTTGTCCCTCTCGGCGATTTCCATCTTAATCTTCTTTCATAACGTCCCGCAATCACTCGCTTCCTCGTTTCTCATCTCTAACTTTCATTCCTCGTTATATCATCTCTGCCTCAGTAATAATCTCATCGATTCTCATTGCTATCTCTTGGCACTGTTATCTTCCTTTTCCATTCCGTCTTTCTACCATCTCAATCTCAACGCTCCGTCTCTCTCCGACTCTTCACATCGTATCCCGGGCTCCCAAGCTCGTCTCGTAGTCCCCTTTTTGTAGGACCCGACTCCGCCCTACCGGGGCACCAAACCTGTCCACCACTTCACGCGGCATATCTTTTCTTCTCCGTCCAAGTGTATCCTCTTCGGCGGCCGCCCCCGCGGCCTACAACAGTAGAAAACCCTCTCCCAAACAAAGCCGAGCAAGTAACGAGGTACAAACTCAAGCCTCAGGGAGAGTGATGGGCTAGCCGTCCGAAGACACCTTAAATACGGGCGAACAATGGCCCCGATGCTTCCGGTACTTGGTGAGCCGATGTCTAGACCAAGTCTCAACGTTTTCATGCAGCTCGGTGTCTCCCGCCTAATTCTCCGCAGCCGCCGCTTCTTCGTCGTTCACCGCCGCGGGCGGCCATCCGCGCAGAATGCAGTAATAAGCCCTGGAGCCACGGAGGTTTTACGGAAAGGCATACTGGACCTTGCAAAGGCACTTGCCGCAAAGGTCGCATTCCCCGAACCAACAAAAGGTGCTCGGCTGCTCCCCCATGCCACAGATCTGAAGGGTGTGGGCCGATTATCTCCATCGTACATTGTCAGACTGTCGGTAGACGACAAGGCGCCACCCGGTCCTCATGTTTGCGCGGGGGAGCCCGCGAGGATAGTAGAAATAATCCTTCTGGTACTTAACTCCGGAATGCCCTTTATGCGTGGGTTTGAGAAACGAGCGCACACATCTCGAAAGAAGCGCGGTTCAGTCCGTGTTTGCGGGGACGTCACAACAATGATGACATTGCTCATCTACCTCTGCCCTACTCTGTTGAGATGCTGCCCCTTTCTAATTAGGCCGTGTCGGTCTTGCTTCTTCTCCTAGATTTTCTATACTTTATTTAATGTTTTCTCCTCTCGTTTCGCTGTTTCTTCTTCTTATTTTCTCTCTCTGTCTTTTCTTTCTCTTTTTTTATTTTTCTTTTGACCCCTTCTCTCCTGTCTCGACAGGCTATAAGAACACACGGAACATGTGTAAGTATTGTTAAGCCTTGAAAAAGGCGGGGTTCCCGTCGAAACGTCGGCACAATAAACAGTTGTTATGTGAAAGCGCATCTACTTTCATATTTAAAACCTTGCGGAAACCGAAGTTATTCTTCTGCATATATTGATTGATTGATTTGTAGGGTTTAACGTCCCAAAACCACCATATGATTATGAGAGACGCCGTAGTGGAGGGCTCCGGAAATTTCGACCACTTGGGGTTCTTTAACGTGCGCCCAAATCTGAGCACACGGGCCTACAACATTTCCGCCTCCATCGGAAATGCAGCCGCCGCAGCTGGGATTCGATCCCGCGATCTGCGGGTCAGCAGCCGTGTTCTTCTGCATGCCCCGCCGCGGTGGTCTAGTGGCTAAGGTACTCGGCTGCTGACCCGCAGGGCGTGGGGTCGAATCCCGGCCTCGGCGGCTGCATTTCCGATGTAGGTGGAAATGTTGTAGGCCCGTGTGCTCAGATTTGGGTGCACGTTAAAGAACCCCAGGTGGTCGAAATTTCCGGAGCCCTCCACTACGGCGTCTCTCATAATCATATGGTGGTTTTGGGACGTTAAACATTACATATCAATCAATCAAATCGAGTTCTTCTGCATATAAGCCTTATATATATATATATATATATATATATATATATATATATATAATTTATATATACCTAAAATCCTAACATGTCAGCAGTGCTCAGAGCTGGTACATCGCACCCGTACACAATGACAAACTGTGGAATACAGCGTGAATACAATCGCCTAATACAACCCGAAATATGAGCATTTTCTCTGCACTTCCCTGTGCTAACTTTGAAATTTTCAATACTTTCAGTGCTGTCGGTCCCACTATTATATTCCAACATTGCAATTGGCGTGGCGGGAACAATATACACAGCTTTGGTAAGTATTGAAATCACGTAAGCATGGACAAACGGCGTCAGCCCTTATATGCTCAAACTCTGTGGCGCAAAGCGCGCATTCGATTAGTGTAACTGCTTGGAATTAGGCACGTTATCACCTCGATGTATCTTAGATCGCTGTTGGTCGTTTTAAATAGTAATGGTTTTTGAAGTGAGAATGCGAATAAATTCACCTGGCATCAACTTCTTTTACAACGATGAGCTTTTTCATACAGTGAAACATATACCCCTCTTGCAGTGAAACGTGTTATGAGACCACAAGAAGGGTGGATTCTAGCGCCGCAGTTGTCCGCTGCCCCCACTGGTGTCAGTTATCACTATCGCACTGAAATAAAAAAACGTAAATAAATAAATAAATAAATTGAAGAGATACAATGATATTCGAAGTGCGGTACTCTCCGCGGCAGCGCAGTATTCTACTATGCAACCAGGTCTGCGCTTAAAACTCTTGCAAACAGACTCTATGCAGGCGGGTGAAAAATGCGCTAACATGTGTAATAGTGCCCTTAAGAACAATAAAGTAGCTAACAGGCGTCACATAATGAGAATTGAGTAGCGAGTGGGTCGTTAAATACTTCCAACCCATTACAGCAGGCTCAGCCTTAACTTTCGGACGTTATCAGCACCTACAGCTTCAACGAAGCCCAAAGAATGCCTATTATGTTTTTTGCGGGTAGCACACTTCTTTAAACACTGATGAAAAATGGCATAGCGAGTGCTTCCCACATCACATGAAAATTTATTATGATTTAAGGCCTATTATCGCTAGGTGCCATTCAAGCTCACGTGCAGTAGTTGCCACAAGAGTGATGAAAAAAAAAACCTTGTGAGGCTATACTCTTTCACCTTCACCTGTGATTGTACTGTGCGTCGCACGTAAACCTGCACGTTTCTTTTTTTCTTTTTTGAAGTGCTAACTTTTGAAATATACCAGTGTTGCCGTCTATGTGTACGTCCAGCGCTGAGACCGAAAATGAATGTAACTTAGGGTTAATAATAGCTGAGTTATCGTCCATACCACACGAGTAATTGTGAAAGAATTAATTTATAGGTAAAAGAAAGCATGCATTTCAATCTTCAGGTCATTTTTATGCCATATATAAACTGCGTTGTATAAAAATGCCGACGCTGGCTCAGTTTAGCCGGCTTTCACCATGACTTCACGCCACCATCTTGCTGCCTGTGCATATGACTGTCCGTTAAGGGCGAGAATATTCCATTTTGCGAATGCTGGTTAGGCCTGCATGATTGTCAGTATTGGATGAAATCGGTTGATTGTAGGGTAGATCTGCATTATTGCATAATAGTAACTAACGAATAACAACTTTAAAGCAGAGTTTGGTCTTTCCATACAGGTGGGCGGACATGGCCAGGATTTCTAGACACCTGCTTGCAGTGCAATCTCTTGCAGGCCACGATAACAGCCTGCCGTAACTCAATGGCAAAAGCAGAGAGCTATTTGAACAGTCTGGCAAGGTCACACTGTCGCACTAAACCACATAACTTTCCAAAGTGTTTAAGATCCATGAGTTTCTACGGGTGGTCAATTGTCCTGGAAAATCACACGCTTGGTAGTGTAGTACTGCAACTTTACCAAAAGGTACCAGTGAGTCTCTGCTATAGTGTGTGACCCGGAGTCACTTTCGATAACCAGCTGTTCTCAAGAGATGTGATTTCACTCACCGATTTCCCATTCAGTTATGGCAGGCTGGCGTTGCTGCCACCCAGAGGTGGCGCCACTAACAGATGTCACCAATTTCTTGTAGTGTCAAATTGTCATAACGAGTGTTTTAATGTGTGTGTATATTCTGTATTTTTCGCAGCTTACTCGCTGTGCTAAGCACCTCATGCTAACGGCAAAATGGCGTTATTGCACCGCATACGTCCAGTGGACATCTCTAGCTTGAAATTTAGAAAATGACAGAAAGTCACACAGTTTTTATCTGTAGAAGTTTCGTGATTGATTCCACACATTCGGCTATTAGAAAATATTTGCGAAATGAGAATGGATAGAAGATGCTCACAACACGAGGAATCGCTTCGTGATTATCTGTATTTGGAATTCACAACAAAATATTGAGTGCTTCTCCAAAAATATAATTAGTTGCTGAAACAACCATAGCCAGCGACAAGAGGAAACAGCGACAAGTGCTCAATAAGCGCTAAAACTACGTAATTACTTGTCTTCAACGCATGCAAGTGTTGTATTTTAGCGAATGCGGATCTGTTTCATTGTTTCAGAGAAGCAATGCGCTGGGTTGGAATGAAGACTGACTATATTCATATTCCCTTTTTACAAGAAATGATAGCCTCGTGTATAAATGCGTAATACCTTCTTTCGTATCCCACCAACAAATATGGACTGTTAATTAGAGTACGCATTAAGTTGAAATCATTTTTGCGTCTTTCAGAACCTTTACTTGCGTGTACTCTCATTCATCTTTAAGTCAAATAGTTTGTGAAACCTACGCGTGTGTTATCGTTTCCCACTGCACCTCTATCAATTGGCATTCACTAGTGCTTGACGAAGGAATCCTGATTACAGCTCTCTTAAATATAAGCCCATGAAAGTAACTCTTACAATAGCAACTGTCGCAGAGAGGCTAGTTGTTCAGCAATTATCGGGAATATGTAATTAGGCTTTGTCAACAGTGACCCGCAGGTCGCGGGATCGAATTCCGGCTGCGGCGGCTGCATTTCCGATGGAGGCGGAAATGTTGTAGGCCCGTGTGCTCACAGTTAGGTGCAGGTTAAAGAACCCCAGGTGGTCGAAATTTCCGGAGACCTCCACCACGGCGTCTCTCATAACCATAAGGTGGTTTTGGGACGTGAAACCCCACATATCAATCAATTTGTCAACAGTGACGCGTGAAAATTAATGAGCTAAAACAGCAGTGGTTATATGAGGATGAAATACTAGTGGCTGTGGGCATATTTTGTACACTACTTAGACCACGATGCCTGCAACTATAACTATAATAGGAGGAAGAAGACGAAGAAGCTGTGGCTGCTTGGCTAAGTAGCTCTGTCTGCATTTATTGTTATTTTTGTTTATATTACGGCTCAACACTGCTCAAGACGTCGGATGACTCGAAAAGGTACCTGCCGTATCGGCGACCGACGAGTGCTGCGCAGCCCACCGCATCGAACGGTGCTAGAAGAAACAAAACAAGCATCAGGGAGAGCGCCGCCATGACCTCCCAAAGTGTGACACCAGGTCAGAAGCACCAGCCGGTTTGTGCAAGCATACCTGACTGCAAGCGACAACATAGCATTGAATCAGAGGACGAATCAACTGTCGTTGGGGACCACAACGGGGCGAACCTCACAGATCTAGACATGGACGAGGGTGGTATCCGCCTTGTGCGACATCGCAAAGACAGAACGGTGGGCATTCCTGTGTTAATTGCTCCAACATCCGTCGGAGCTAACTTGAGGCAAGTGAATCCTATTGACCTATACTTGGAAATTGAAACGATACTCGGTGGAGCCCCAGTTAAGAGCCATTTCACAGCGCAGGGATCCCTGCTCTTGAATATAGAGACAGAACACCAAGCTGATAAGCTTCTAGAGACCAACACTAGCTGCGGCCTTGCCATATCTGCCCGTGTACCACACAGCTACATGAAAAATACATGCATTATAAAACGGGTCACAAGACGGTACTCGGACGAAGAGCTGTTTACCCACCTGAGACTTCAGAGAGTATACCACGCAAGAATAATCATACGACGAGTCCAAACCTCATCCTCCGAGTGGGAATCAAGGCGCACTGACTTTGTGGTTCTCACATTCGCTCCCAATTCGGAACGTCCAGAGAAGATCAACCTTGGCTTCACCAGACACGAGCTGGTAGACTACGTGGAGACGCCGCCACGCTGTTTTAAATGTCAGCGTTTTAGACATGTTGCTAAGCACTGTCGTGGGGAACAAATGTGTAAGCGCTGTGGGGGGCCTCATGACTTTAGGACTTGTACAAGTAAAGAAAAATTGCCCGCAGCTTCCCTCGGGGGAACACTGAGGAGGATGCGGAGCATATAATTGGTTAACGGGGTGTTAAAGTGCGACTTACTTGGGTCGATGGCTAAATTGGTTAACGTGGTTGTGAAATGGGGTGTTAAATTGCGACTTACTTGGGTCGATGGCTAAATTGGTTAACGTGGTTGTAGGAGGGGGTGTTAAATGAGTGAACACGTACACACGTATGCGAAAGGGCGGCGCTGGTCGAAGGGACGTCGATCATTGTGTTTGTGGATTCGTTGGAATTCATTTCACCGCGACCTTGGACGTCGACGCGCCGTACAAACCAACCGACGAGTGGCAACTGAGCGAGCGAGCGCCGACCTTGAGTATATATACAGCTCGACGGCGCATGCACTGTCAGCTGTTGAATGTTCTCGAAGCGCGACGCCACATGCGCGTCCACTGGAGAATCAGGAGAATTGTAGATGTCGAACGCGGTGTGTAGAGGAGGAAGGGTGCACAGATGGTGGAGGAGTGAAGCACGCGCGGTGTGTAGAGGAGGAAGGGATGCACAGATGGTGGAAGAGTGGGCGACGGCGCGACGGCGCATGCGCGCGCGTCAGCTGTCGAATGTTCGAGAAGCCGTGCGGACGGCGCGGACGGCGCGGACGGCGCACTACAAGGCGCGAGTATAAGATGCTCCGCATCTAAAACTTGTGTGTGCAAACTGCCGATGTCAAGCCCGAACAGCTGCGCAGCGAATAACTAAGACGTTTGTTCTTGGCCCGAAGACTGTGAACGAACCATCGCTTACAAAGAAGACGTCCGGTGCGCCACAACATGCCGGTTTTATAACGAGTACGCAGGAAATTTTCCGTGCCTAAATCCGACAAGAGCTGGTACTGAGTCAACGCAAGTGCTCAATGCTGGTGAGAAATATATCAAGAAAAAGTCCGCCAAGCGCACCTACGCTGATGCACTGAGTCCACCTCAAGTACCATCTGGAAGCAAACAGCAAGAAAACCTCGAGCACGTTATTCACGCCCTGTTCACCGCACTACGTTCACAAGTCGCTAAGATGCCTGCGAGTTCAACGAAGGACATGTTGGAAGCAGTCCTGGCTCTAGAGTCAGTGTTACTTTGCTCTGCTTCCACATACACACAGTAGAATAATGGCTATATCTCGACCACCTGGTCTATTTTGTCCTTCAAAAGTGCCCTTAATAATGCAATGGAACTGCGCCGGTCTTCTAAAACGTCTGTGCGAACTCAACCTTTTCCTGCGCGACATTCCGATACCGATTCTAGCCCTCTCCGAAGCTGGTCTACCGAATGCAAGGACGCTCCCAGGGTACACCCGACATGGCAACCCGAGCATAACGTCGTTTGGAAATGGAAGCGTAATGATATACATAAGGCGGGAAAGACCTCACGTCGACTTACCTGTGCAAGACCTCTGTTCTAACTCACTGGAAGTCGCTGCTGTGCAAGTGTGCCTGGGAAACCGAAGACAAAGTGTGGTATCGGTGTACATAAGCCCACGAAAAAAGGCCTCCTTGAGACTTTACTAAAGGTCCTTTGCACTCGATGTCCCGCTCCTCGAATAATCTGTGGTGATTTTAATGCACACCATCCACTCCGGGGAGATAAGAGTGTAGATTTTCGAGGCAAGGAACTTCTAGCAGCTGCAGATGCTGCCGACTTATGTGTGGCGAACGATGGCAAACCTACATTTTTCAGGCCACCAGATTCATGGAGTGCAATAGACCTTGTGCTTCACTCCACGGACCTTTCGGTATCATCGACCACGGCTCCAGACAGGATGGGCAGCGATCATTTCCCCATATTCACCATTATCCTGGGATTTCGAACTGCTGGTCGACAATTCTGCAGTGTAACACGATGGGACACCTACAGAGAAGCGTTGGACAAATCCACTGGTGAGCTGTTCACAGATATGTTGCAAAGCAAGTGAGCAGCAACTTCGTTGCTGAAACTGTCCGACCATTTTCCTGCTCCCGACTGGAAATTGAAGAATTTCTGCGCAGCACGTAGACGGGCGCAGCGGAAAATAATGAGAACAAAAGGAAATCCGTCTGCGAAGACCAAATACAACAGGTTAAACGTTGCGATTCATCCCCATACAAAAAAATTAAGACGAAATGAATGGGCCGCTTTCTGTGAGAGTTTATCAACGTTTACGCCTATGACAAGAATATGGGCAGTAATAAATAGTCTTTCTAGAAAGATCCGAACACAGAGGCCATTCGAAGCACTCACTTTGAAACTAGGGAGAGATTTGCAAACCCTTGCAGAGGATTTCGCAGACGTGTACACATCTGGTAGATCAGCAGGAGCGGCGATTCCTCTGTCACCCCAGTTTTTTCACACGGTGAATACGCCATTCACCTTTCGAGAGCTAGATATGGCAATTAGCAAATTAAGAAGACACTGTGCCGTGAGTCCCGATTTGATCAGCAATCAAATGCTGACAAATCTGCCTTATAAGCGAAAAAGGGCCCTTTTGGACATATTTAATCATGTCTGGAGCACGGGAGAGATCCCATTTGTTTGAAAGACAGCATGGGTGGTGCCAGTCCTAAAGTGCGGAAAGGATCCTGCGAGCCTTGCGTCATATCGACTGGTATCTCTTACATCGTGCGTATCTAAGTTGATGGAAAGATTACTATGTACAAGAATAACTTGGTACCTTGAACAAAGAAGGCAATGGCCATCGTGTATGACCAGATTTTGACCACGACTGAGTGCCCAGGACAGTGTTTTGGACCTATTAAGCCACATCGAGCACCACCACGTCAGCGGACTCTCGACACTCGCCGTCTTCATGGACGTTGCCAAGGCATTCGATTGTGTGCT